AAACCATTTCAGGTGACTACCTCTTGAAGCTCATGGAGAGAATGCCAAGAGTGTGCAAAGCAGTAATCAGAGCAAAGGGTGGCTATTTTGAAGAAACTAGAATATAAAACATGTTTTCAGTTATTTCACCTTTTTTTGTTAAGTACATAACTCCACATGTGTTCATTCATAGTTTTGATGCCTTCAGTGAGAATCTACAATGTAAATAGTCATGAAAATAAAGAAAATGCATTGAATGAGAAGGTGTGTCCAAACTTTTGGCCTGTACTGTATGTATGTATGTATGTACCGCAATCAGTACCCACAATATGACAAACCCCCCTTGGCTAGCCAGGACTAAATCCATAGCCATCCTGTTCTGCAGAGCCACATTTCTGAGGCCCTGTACTGCTGGTGTGAGTGAGCCGAATCCTGTAGCCACATTGTCTGTGAGATTTTCCAAGTCCACAGCTACAGCATCAATCTTGTGTGCATTGTTTACTGTTCCCCACCTTCGCAGGAGACCCCCAAAACCCTTCTCCACAGGGGCCACCCTTACCACAGCTCGTCTTTCTCTGTGCGGTGGGTAGTAGTGATCATAGTCTGTGTGAAAATGAGTCAAATCAGGAACAATAGTCACAGCGGGCAGCAACTTAGCCAAGTAGCACCTGCCACACCATCCAGGCTGAAGGGCCTGATGAACATGTTTGCCACACACCCAGACGTGTTGTCTGAGCGATCCATACCCATCACTGGATGTCAGTAAGTCATCTCTGTCACCAAAAGCACCTGGAACGAACCATTCCACCTGCGAGCTTTCCAGTTCTTCTGTCTCAGATCTCTCACCACAACGCAGTCGCCTGCACTGAGATCATGCAGCTTCCCTTCCGCTGGTTTGGGCAGGGCAGCTTTCACCTGTTGGTGGATTTCATACAAAACAGAGGACAAGGTTGCACAATATCGTAACATTTCATCCTCACAGTGACCAGTGTCTGGCAACTGCCTTTTAACAGGCCCAGTCCCGGTATTGAGAGGTCTGCTAAATTAGATCTCAAATGGACTGAATCCATTTCTGCTCCTCCTTCTAGCCCTCATGTGCATCAACACAATAGGAAGAGCTTTTGTCCATGACATCTTAGTCTCCTCACACACTTTCACAAGTTTGTTTTTAAAAGTTGCGTTTTCTCTCTCACAAACCCCTCCAGAGGCTGGGTGATATGCACAATGGTGTCAATACTCACCAACTCACCAAGTGGAATTTCCCACCTGGGAATTATCAGAGTCATCAAAGCCTTCGCCACTGCTGCTGCATCCTGTTTAGCTGTGGGAAAAGCTTCAACCCATTTTGAAAACATGCACACAATCACCAAAACAAACTTTCTTCCCCTTGCTTGGTGTTAGTTCAATGAAATCCATTTGCAAGTGATCAAAAGGTCTTTCTGGAGGTGGATGAGCAGCCTGTCCACATTGTTTGTAGCACAGATCACACTTCTTTTGCAAAACTCTGTGGCATAACTGGAAAACCCTCTTGTAAACCAGTATCTACGTATCTCATCAACCATTCCCCCCTTTGACACGTGATCCAAACCATGTGTCAATTTAGCAAAGAAATGGAAAAGATAGCGAGGGAGACAGGGCAGGCCATCAGGGCCCGTCCACACTTTAACATCCACAGTACATCCTGCTTTTTTCCAAACGGCCTTCTCCGCCGGAGAGGCCCTTATCTGCAGGTCTGTTATCTCAGCCGTAGCCACGACTGTAGGAGTAGACGCAGGGGTTAGTGAGGCGACATGCAAGGCTGAAAACAATGGCAGCTTTGAGGCTGCTTTTGCAGTGTTAGTGTGAGCTTCACATTACACACAGCAATTTGTTTTGGCAGCAGCAATGGTACAATTTAGTCACATCACATCAGTACACATCAGTCATGATGTGCGTGTTGTGTGTTTCTATATTTGTGTTAGTGTCAGTGTTCTCACGTGTCTGAAGCGTTGGTTGGTTTTCCAGGCCAGTGTCATCACCAGATTTGGCCGTCCTCGGGCTCTCACCACATAGTCAATCTGACTCATCTGCCCCATTTTTTTCTTGTTGTTTCCCCTTTACGGCAGTTTCTTGCCCAATGTCTCTTTCTGCCGCACTTGAAACAACGGTCATTGTCTTTGTGTCCTCCTTTTGACTTTCCTCAAGTTCGGTCAGTCCACCATATTGCATCGCTGCTTGTCTCAGGCAGTATAGATAAGCAGAGACAATTTCATTTGCATCCTGCTTAACCGCCACCACTTTTCCCAGTCCAAACGAACAGGGAACTCCGTTTTCAATCTTGTCATCAGCCGAAGAACAATGTCTCTGTAAGCAGCGCTGATTCAGAGAGGCCAGCTGCTCCCTCTG